ATTACATTTGAGTATTATCCACTTAATATCCTAAAAGAAATTAAAGAAAAATAATTTTTTAGATAAAATCTTGGAGACAAAAAATAACGTATCTTCAGACCAAGTCCGTGTGCAATCACACGAATGTATAAATTGAAAACTTGAAATGATAACTGCTTCTTAGAAAACCTTATCATTGAGCACTTAAAGATATCAATTTTCTCAAATAAAAATTTATAACAAGGAGTTTTAGGTGATAAATAGCTCGGAGAAAGCCAATTATACCCTTCATTATTAGTTAATAGTGAGGCAGTAATATTGGCAGCACTTTGATTCAATAATTAAGTTTTTAAGCACTAGGGGAATGTTAAACAAGGAACAAAGATTGTAATATTAAAACTTGTATAAAGAATATGTCCTTTTCAGTAAACAACATTTTCTTTTTTCTTCAAGATGAGACCAATTTTTCAAATCAAAGCTTTCCATTTGTAAAAAAATATTTAGGCTTCATGCAGGTAACTGCTTAGTGAGAAATGTAGCCCTGTATAACACTGTTCATATGGAGTTGATTGCACTGCATTGTAATGAATTTAGGGTATTAAGAAATCTGCCCCGAGTACAACTTAAACCAAGAATCATATTCTGACTTTATAATGTCCTCCCACTCAGTTTAGATTTGTTCTCGAGTTCTACAAAGTTACTTTGAACCAGCTTCTTACAAGTTGAAGATATCACACTGTGTTTCTGGGAGGTAGGTAATGCCACGATTTGACAACTTTATGTGAACAACATAATAGTACTCTCAGCCGACTGTTGAGATAAGTATGTAGATGGATTTCATCATAGCTCAACTAAACTGGTTTTTATAAAACATTTTGTGACAAATTAGGATATCAAGAAATCTGTCCTGACTAAAGCTTGACCCCAGGCTGAACTTTGACTTATGAGCACTAGTATGAGTCAATGGTACTCGTGTTCTACCCTATTAGATGCATCAAATGTAAGTTATGTTTCATCAGTCATCTGTTCTTCTAAGTTTTGACTAATATTGCAGTGTATGGTGCATCTTGTTGCTACATCCAAAGACCTTTGGGAAATTAATTTTTAAATCAGCTAAGTTAATTTTTTTTCTTAGAGATTAATTTTCTGCAATCTAAGTGAAATGTTATCTTTACCATCATGTTTATAGAAAGGTCCTGACTCCGGTATTGATTTCATCCTGTTTTGTACATAGAACAGTTTGTTTTCAAGTTGTTCTCTGAAAGTTTTAGTGTAGATTTTAGAAGATACTGTATTTAACTTAACAGTTCATATACTATAATGTATAAAAAAATTAAAGAGGTATTTATTCATATGAGGTTAAGCACAGTTGTATTTTAAATCGGGATATAATCAGAATTTTTTTCCTTAACTTTGTTATGGAGTTTGTATGCATTATTTGCAATGTCATGCATGTTCACATAGAAGGTTGAAGTGAAGTCTGAGTATAGCATCACTTGTACTTGTGAAAGTTCTACATTCAGTAAATCTTTTTTTTTCTTTTACAAAATTCTTGTACTTAATAGGCTTTAGAATTTATGTTACCAAAAGAGAGATAACCTAACATGTTTTTCACAGTAATTTAGAAAAGTAACTGTTTATGTGCTTGTAATGAACTCCTTCATGCAAATAGAAATACACTAGAAAACCCACCATTAAAAGTAATATAAAAAATAACAGCATCTGTCTCATGCAGTATTAAAAAAATCCACCATCATTATTTTGAATAAACTGAAATAATATATAAACCAGCATTAGTGATGTTAGAAAAACACGTAGGTTCAAGAAGTCTAGATAGAAATGATAGATTTTTGGTAGACATTCTTCTGAATAAGTGTCCCAAAAACTTGGGAATGATTTTAATATTTTGAAAAATTTGGAAGAATTGTGGGTCATGGAAAATGACTAAAATTGGGAAGGAAAAGAATAAAATGGGAGGGAGGAGAATCAAAAATATGGAAAACTAGACTTTGATTATGGGTTTTGTTTTTGAAGCTTTGCTACTATGCTGTTGTCTTCAACAAGTCAGGTAAGGTGAAAAATTAGGGAAGAATTTTAAGAGACTAGATTGAGGTACAGGAAAAACTTGTGGTTTTTGTTTTTTTTGTATCACAAATATTTTACTTGTAAAACAATTTTGTTGGCCTTAATTATTTAATATACTAAAAACAATAAATCTTGTAACATCTTTAGGGACAACAAGGGATGTATTAGTCCATCTCGGCTGTCCCATCCTTTAAACTAAACAGAAACTATCAAATAAATAAATTAAAATATTAAAGTCAGCCCTTATCATTCATATAGTTATCAAGCTTTCTCTTAAACTCACTTAAAGTTACAGCCTCCGCAACATCCAAAAGCAGCCCATTCCAGAGGCAAACCACCCTGTTAGGAAAATAAAATTGTCTTAGGTGAAGATGACTCCTACCTTGCCGAAATTTATACTATGGTGCATCAACTATATCAATTCCCTTTACAATCTTAAACACCTCAATCAGATCCCCCCCCTAATTCTTCTTTTTTCAAGAAAAAACAAATTGAGAGATTTCAGCCTCTCCTCCTATGACAACCCCTCCGTCCCAGGCACAATTCCCACAACTAATAAGCCTGTAATTACTGGGACAATTTTTTATCACCTCACTTGAAAAAAGAAGTGATATTAGCTAACTTCCAATCCTTTGGCACCTGCCCACTATTCAAGGACTTATGGAGAATAGTAGTAAGTGCTTCATGTTTATTCAATCTTTAACCTCCATCAAAACCCTTATAGAGATATTATCTAGCACAGGGACCTTATCATTTTTTAAACTTCCCTATTTTTTCTTAACAAGCTTAGAATTAATACAATCATATTGTCCAAGCTAGTTCCATCTATCATCTGTTCAAGATCAGGAATACTGCTTAAATCTTCATTAGTAAAAACTGAAGAAAATTCAGAATTTTATAACCCAACTATCATCAAATACAAGTTGGAGTGTATAAGTATATAGGGTTAATATATTAAAGAGCAGTAAATCTTGTATTGATAGTTGGAGGGTTAATATACTAAGAGCAGTAAATCTTGTATTGATAGTTGGAGGGTTAATATACTAAGAGCAGTAAATCTTGTATTGATAGTTGGAGGGTTAATATACTAAGAGCAGTAAATCTTGTATTGATAGTTGGAGGGTTAATATACTAAAAGCAGTAAATCTTGTATTGATAGTTGGAGGGTTAATATACTAAAAGCAGTAAA